TAACTATAAAATACAACTTTGAATAACGTTGCAGGCAATTTTATGAAGATAAGAGAGATAAAGAGATATTGAAAATATATTACTCATAAAAATACCAGAGACATGGTATTGGAAAGAAATATGACTAAAAAGCTCATTAAAGTACATGAATATGTAACAGGTAAATTGCTGTTTTTAATGTTTAATCAATATCTTATTTTTCTTTAGAGATCAAGGATATGTGGTTTTGAGGAAAAAAAAATAAAAAGTTCCCATAAGATAAAATGCCTTCCACAACCCAGTATGCCCTGGGCCCCAGTTTAACCAGCGTGAGCCGTGAAGACCCAGGGAGCATGCCCAGATCCTGTTGTTCCCCCTAATGAACACGCCTTCTACCCTTCCTCCAAATACAGCCCAGAGCAGGCCTCACCTGCTCCAAAAGGCCTCCCCATATTCTCCTGGGCAAGCACATTCACAGTGATCTCTTCCTTCTTTGTGGACACTCATTGTCCATGCTCTTTGTTTGGCATTTAGTCCGGGTTGTGTTTTGTTAATGCACTTTGCATTTATCTGTCCAGTCTCCCCAACTCATCCTCCATGCCAGCTTGTCATTGTTGATGGTTATAAATTTTAATCCCGACAAACTTACTTGATGAGAAGTTGGGACTCAGTGAGCTATGCCATTGCAGCTTTTGCTCAGATGTCATCATAGTCCAACCAAGAGACAACCAAATCGACATCACGGTTGCTTCTATATTTCGGCTATTGTAAATTATGCTGCAATAAACATAGGGGTGCAGATATCTTTTCAAATTGGTGTTTTTGTTTTCTTCAGATAAATGCCTAGAAGTGGAGTTGCTGGGTCATAAGGTAGTTCTATTTTTAAATTTTTATTTAATTTTTTAAAATAAATTTTATTGGGGAACAGTGTGTTTTTCCAGGACCCATCAGCTCCAAGTCAAGTCGTTGTTTTAAATCTAGTTGTGGAGGGTGCAGCTCACTGGCCCATGTGGGAATCGAACCGGCAGCCTTGGTGTTATGAGCACTGCACTCTAACCAATTGAGCCAACCGGCTGCCCCTATTTTTAAATCTTTGAAGAACCTCCATACTGATTTCTATAGTTGCTGCACCATTTTATAATCCCACCAGCAGTGCACGAGGGTTCCCTTTTCTCCACATCCTCGCCAACACTTACTTGCTGATTTTCTGATAGCCACTGTAACTGGTGTGAGGTGGTATCTCCTTGTGGTTCTGATTTGCATTTCCCTGATGATTAGTGATATTAAGCATCTTTTCACATGTCTGTTGGCCATCTGTATGTCCTCTTTGGAGAAATGTCTTTGCAGGTCCTCCGTCCATTTTTTAATTGGACATTTTGGGGGTTTTTGATGTTGATGTGTTGAATTCCTTATATATTTTGGACATTACCCCCTTATCAGATATATTATTTGTAAATATCTTCTCCCATTCAGCAGGTTATCTTTTCATTTTGTTGATGGTTTCCTTCACTGTGCAGAAACTTTTTAGTTTGATGTAGTCCCATTTGTTCATTTTTGCTTTTGTTGCCCTTTCCTGAAGAGATGTATCCAAGAAGATATTGCTAAGACTAATGTCAAAGTGTTTACTGCCTATGTTTTCTTCTAGTTTTATGGTTTCAGGTTTTACTTTAAGTCTTTAATCCACTTTGATTTTTTTGTATGTGGTATAAGAAAGTAGTTCAATTTCATTTTTCTGCATGTAACTGTCCCATTTTCCCAACACCATTTATTAAAGAGGCTGTCATTTGACCCATTATATATCCTTGCCTCCTTTGGCATTTATTAAATTGGCCATATAAGTGAAGGTATATTTCTGGGTTCTCTATTCTGTTCGATTGATCGATATGTATCTGTTTTTATGCCAGTACCATGCTGTTTTATTATTGTAGCTTTGTAGTAGACTTTAAAATCAGGGAGCGTGATACCTCTCACTTTGTTCTTTTTTCTCAAGATTGCTTTGGCTATTTAGGGTCTTTGTGGTTCCACATAAATTTTAGGATTATTTGTTCTAGTTCTAAGAAGAATGCCATTGGTATTTGAACAGGGGTTGCATTAAATCTGTATATTGCTTTGGGCAGTATGGACATTTTAACAATATTACAACTTCTAATCCAGGAACACAGTAGATTCTTGCATTTATTTGTATCTTCTTCAGTTTCTTTCACTGTCTCATAGTTTCACTGTCTCATAGTTTTCAGATTACAGGTCTTTCATCTCCTTGTTTAAATTTATTTCTAGGTATTTTATTCTTTTTCATGTAACTATAAATTGGGTTGTTTTCTTAATTTCTTATTCTGGTTGTTAGTTATTAGTGTATAGAAACACAACAAATTTCTGCATATTAATTTTGTATCCTATAATTTTACTGAATTCATTTATTAGTTCTAACAGTTTTTTGGTAGAGTCTTTAGGTTTTTCTACATATAGTAGAAACTGTCACTTGCAAATAGTGAGTGTTTAAATGCAAAAAACTTAAATGTAAGTAAGACCTGAAACTATAAAACTAGAAGAAAACATAGGCAGTAAACACTTTGACATTAGTCTTAGCAATATCTTCTTGGATACATCTCTTCAGGAAAGGGCAACAAAAGCAAAAATGAACAAATGGGACTACATCAAACTAAAAAGTTTCTGCACAGTGAAGGGAACCATCAACAAAACGAAAGGATAACCTACTGAATGGGGGAAGATATTCACAAATGATAGATCTGATAAGGGGGTAATTTGTATGCCTTTTATTTCTTTTTGTCTGATAGCTATAGCTGGGACTTTCTGCTAGAAGTCTTTTCCAAGAAATACAAAGAAACGCTTGTTGGCTGTCTCACTTCGACTTTTTATTTTTAAGGTTAATAACAACTTATTTAAAACAGTTAATCAGGCCAGAAAGCATTCATAAGTTTTTGCCTTGTTGTAAAGGGAAGACCAAATACTATGAAGATTTTCAGACATTTCACCCACCAACCTTCTCATTATTAGAATTACTTCATTATCACTAGAGTTACGTACATTCATAAAAATTAATTTACTCTGAATTGAGAAGTCGATTTTTCATCATGTGCCCTGTGCTTTCATTTTTAAATCAGAAACAACTCCCCAAGATAAAAGTGATTCATTTCTTCATGTCTTTTGGTTCTAATATTCCAAAATAGATTGGGAGACTTGGAGTGTTGTTTTTACCCTAATATTGATTAGCCTACCTTGTAAAAGAATGGGGGAACTTTTACTTCAACCCTTATTTTCCTAGTGTTAATGTTTTGTTTAAAATGAAAGGTAAATGTGTGTGTGTGATCATTTTATATAACTAAAGAAATTTATTATCTCACCTCCTGAAAATTAGTATCTTCTTGCTTTACTATTGTGATACCGTGATTTGTAACTTAAAAAATATGTGTTTGGTCTTTGTCCTTGTTTCTGGCATACAGCTCCTAAAACCCTTGGAATTTCCTAAGTGATGAGAGTGTTAAAGGTGTCTTTTGTCATGTGAATGAGATGACTTTTGGACTGCACCTAAGGATGGGGGCTGGTTGCCAGAAGAACAGAGCATGTTGGAACTTTCAGTACCACCCACCTTCCCCCCCCCCCACACTGCTGGGGAAGGGAGAGGGGGTGGAGATTGAGTCCACCCAACCCATGGCCAATGATTTAGTCAATCGTGCCTAATTAAATAAGCCTTCATTAAAAACACAAAAGGATTGTGTTCAGAGAGCTTTCCGATAGGTGAACACGTAGAGGTGCTGGGAGACTGGTACTCCCTGGAGAGAGAGGGGGCTCCGTGTCCCTTCCCACATACCGAGCCCTAGGTCTGGCTCCCATGTGGATGTTCATCTGTATCCTTTTACCATACCCTTTTATAATATACCAGTAAACATAAGTGAACTGTTTCCTTGAGTTCTGTGAGCCACTCGAGCAAATTCATCAAACCCAAGGAGAGAGTCCTGGGAGCCCCTGATTTATAGTTGATGGGTTAGAAGCCCAGGTGGCAACCTGGACTTGCAGTTGGCATCTGACATGAGGTGATGGGAGGCAGCCTTGTGGGACTAAGCCCTTACCCTGCGGAATCTGATGCTATCTCCAGATATATAGTGTCTGAACTGAATTAAATTGTAGAATACACAGAACTGCTTGTCGGGAAGAGAACCCACATATTTGGGGACCAGAAGTGTCAGAAGTGAACTGCTGTGGGTAAATAGTAAAGAAAGTCTCACAGGTGGAAAACTGCATTTTTCCCCCCAACTCAAGTATGCGTCCCTTAAATGGTGAGGACATCATGAAAGACTACCAGAAAAACCGTGTTCCAGTCAAGTCAACCCTGCATTTAGTCTTTGGCATGCACAGAAGGGTCCACAGGACTAGGTAGCATAACATGGTGGGTAAGAACATGGACTCTGGGACCAGCTGGCTTGGGTTTGAATCTCAGCTCTATCACTCTCCAGGTGTATGACTTTGGGCAAGTTATTTAGTCTGTTTCCTCATCTGCAAAATGAAGGTACATTCTTCATTCTTACAGGGCTGTTGTGAGGCTTAAATGTGGTTATATGTAAAATGTTTGAACAGTGCCTAGCACATCATAAGAAATATATATATATATATATATATAAAGTACATATATATATATGAAGCTATTATTTTCAATCAGTTCTCTGAAGTCACAGTGAAACTAAGTTAAGTGGTGACTTGATGGGCAGATGTTCAAATTAACTGGAGCTAGTAAAGAACAACTCTCAATGCCATGTTAGTGGTTTATAAGAAAGAATGTCTCCTCAAGGCCTTCCCTGGGTCCCCTGATTAATACCAACACGTCCAAAAGGACACGGGAGAGGATTAGAAACCAAATCCTGCCATTATTTGCATCTCTAGATGTAGAGCTAAGAAATCTGAGATAAACAAATGGGGTGAATTTGGAAATGCTGCATCAGCTGCTTCCTCCTGTGACATGAATAGCGGGAGCTATCAAGGATCTGCCTGCCTGTCAAACCCTAGGGAGACAGTTCCCTCCAGACACCAAAGAGGAGTAACCACTCAGGATGACTGAAACCTGCGGTCCTCCAGAAGATGAGCTGTCACTGTTTCATGTCATTTTAATTTACATGATCGTAGGCACTGAATGCATCATTGGTATCGCTGCAAATGGGTTCATCGTGGCTGTCAATGCGGCTGAGTGGATGCGGAACAAGGCAGTTTCCACAAGTGGCAGGATCCTGTTCTTCCTGAGCGCATCCAGACTGGTTCTTCAAAGCTTCATGATGGTAGAAATTACCATCAGCTCAACAACTCCTCGCCTTTATCATGAAGGTGTTGTGTATGATACATTCAAAGTAAGTCTCATGTTCTTAAATTCTTGTAGCCTCTGGTTTGGTGCCTGGCTCGGTTTCTTCTACTTCGTGAAGATTGCTGATTTCTCCTACTCTCTTTTCCTCAAGCTGAAGTGGAGAATTACTGGGTTGATGCCATGGCTCCTGTGGCTATCAGTATTTATTTCCATGGGCCACAGTGCCATCTTCTTCAATGAGACCTACATTACCTATTGTAACAATTCTTTTCCCATCCACTCGTCCAGCTCCACCAAGAAAAAATACGTCACTAAGACCAGTGTGGTCAACCTGGCTCTCCTCTATAACCTGGGGGTCTTCGTTCCTCTGACCATGTTCACCCTGGCGGCCACTCTGCTGATCATCTCTCTCAAGAGACACACCCTCCACATGGGAAGCAATGCCACTGGCTCCAGGGACCCCAGCATGGAGGCCCACTTGGGGGCCATCAAGTCCATCAGCTATTTTCTCTTTCTCTACATTTTCAATGCAGTTGCTCTATTTCTCTTTATGTCCCACACCTTTCATGCCAACAGTCCCTGGAATATTTTGTGCAAAGTCATCATGGCTGCCTACCCTGCTGGTCACTCCATTCTACTGATTCAGGACAACCCTGGACTGAGGAGAGCCTGGAAGCGGCTTCAGCCTCTAATTCATCTTTAACTAAAAAAATAAACTCGATGGCCGACACCACAAGCCTACCACAGCACCAACCAGCTCTGCCTTTCCCTCACCTAGACCTCTCTTTCCCATCTCTTTTCTTCCCCAACCCTGATGATCCTTTCACCTGTTGTGGGTTGTTTGTATAGGAGCTTGATCTTCATGTCTCTCTTTCGCTTCATGGGTACCATCTTTGGGATGTTTAACATATTCTCTACCTGAGCCTTCTATTTCCACCTCCCTTGCTCTATAGAAAGCAGTGGTTCTAGACACTGGCTCCAAATGAGAATCTCTAGGAGATTTTTGGAAATTCCAATGTCCGGGCCTGACTCTAGATCAATTAAGTCAGAATTTCCAGTGTTGGAACTTAAACAATTTTTAAAGTTCTCCAGGTGGTTCTGATGTGCATGCAGCCAGAGTTGATACAACCATCAAAACAAAGGAAGGCTTTGCAACCTGAGCTCCTGGTAACGTCTCTCCTTCCCCTGCCTTTTAAACAGATTCAGATTCAGGAAGCTTTCTGAGTAACAGCTGGAAGCGCATTTTGTCTCCATTTTCCAAAGACATAACCTGAATGATATGGAAATGCCTATCAAGATTAACAGTACATAAAACACCCTTTCACCTGAAAATTACTGTCTAAGGATTTTTCCTATAGATAAGGCATGGTCCTATATATATACCAATATGTGAAAATATGTGGAAGAAGATCTTCATTAAGGAGGAGACTCATATATCCAAAATGGAATAATATGTGAACATTTTTAAAGTGAGACAAATGCATGTGTCCTAAAATGAAAAGATTTCCAATATATTGTTAAGTACAAGAAGCAAGGAGGTGTTTAAAATTCCATTTATATTCTTTTTATGGACTATACATATATGTCTTGTGTATATGTGCATATGTATAAAGTTTCTAGAAGGATTTACCAAAATGATTAACAGGACTTCCGAGTAGTGGTGCTGGGTATGTGGGGATAAATGAAACATTTACACTACATTTTCCACCTTTCTGCATTGTTTGAACTATTTAGAACATGTATGCATTCATTTCACATTTTTAAAAGATTTAAATTGGTGTTCTTTATAAGAAAGAGAACTAGGTAAATAGGAAAGTTTTGAGGGAGAGAACTCTGTAGCTTAATTAGTTGACTGAGTCTCTCACTATGTTTGTTATTATAAAAAATGTAAACCTCCCAAATCATGAATTAAACATCTCTCACTATCTCCTATTTTCCATTTTCTTTATTCACTCAACGGCTGCCATGGGAAGGTCATGGGCTTTCAATCCATTGCCATATCTATATTCTCTGTCCCTCCCTTCGCTTGCCTTCATATGCAGTTAGGATTCCTGGTGAAGCATTATACCCACACCCTTAAAATATACTTTCGGTAATGACAGATGGAGTGAGATTATGTCTGAGATTTGCTTTAAGATAACTTGGCAGAGGGCACAGCAGTGAAGAGAAGAGAGGTTTAGATTAGTCATATGTTGATGATTTCTTTCAAACAAGGTCATGGGGCTTCTTGATACTACGTCTGTCTATTTCAGAGTATGTTTGAAATGTTCCCTACTATAATTTTTATGTGAATGAATAATACTCATTGTCTGGCCCCTCTCTGTCTTCATCCTCACCACGTGGAAAACCCCACATCCAGATGAACTCCACTATTTAACACTCCACGTTTACTTGAAAGCAACCTAGTGTTACTTGAGACTATCTCATAACTGGATGAACTTATGTTCGTACAGGTTCGTGCTCTTTAGTCTCAAATGAGTAAAACCATTGGGCATTTCCATCCCCCGTTTCCCTCGAGAAGTCACTCGTTAACTACCCAAAATGGCTACCTCTTATCATCTCCTCAAGTCCTGAAACCTCCAACCCCTTTTCTCCCTGCTTCCTTTTCCACTGATGAAGTTGCCCTCACACTCCTTGATAAAAGTCCTTAGAAGGACATTCCTTCATCTTCTCATCAGCTTAATTTATAAAACCACCAATTCTCTCCTACAGTCCTAATATTTCAATAGAAAGAGTACCCCTCTATGAAGGAAATAATTAGAAATGCTGTAACCATTTTTCTCCTCCCTCTGTATTTCTCTTGCCTACAAGTTCCAGATTTTTGTGTGTTTTGGTTTTCTTTAGTGATTGAGCCATTCCTCAAATATCTCGTGATTCTTGAATGTTAGCTCTAAGAAGCTGATTTCAAAATTTGAAAGTTAATTTTTTTTAAATCTTTTGGAAATTAAAAACTATATTGAAGCCTGTAGGCGAGACGCATCTCAAAAAAGCAGCACATTCAAAGCTGGATTCTTAGTTTTTCTCCCCGTACACATTTCTCATTCAGTTTTCTCCAACTTCCTAATGTTAAATAGCGCTGCAATATTTTCCATTGATGCAGCTAGGATTCTGGGAACCATCTGTGGGTCTGGTTTCTCTCCCCACCCCATTCAATTCATCTGTTAGTGCCTTATTTCTATTATGTGATGTATATAATTAGTTTATTAATTTAACAATTATTGGATGAACACCAATTATATGGTAGGCACTACTCTAGATCTAGGTACACAGTATTGAGCAAAATAAACGGGTCTTCACAGGTCTTCTATTCTAGCTGGAAAGCACAGAAAAATAAAACAGGATGAACAAAATGAGAAGGGGGGGTGGGGTGGGCAGGTGTTACATCAACCTAGCCCAGAAGGGTCTGAGTGAGTAAATAAAATTTAAAGAAGAAATAATGTTAAAAATTAGAAACCCAAACTAAGAATTTAGAAGATTAATTACAAAATAAACCTAAGGAAATCAGAAGGAAACACAATTCATTAAATATTGATTTCACAAATTAAAGATCAAACAATGGAGAATTAAAAATGAATGTAAGAATTGGCTCATTAAAAAAAATATTAGTAGTGTTTGCTTATATAATTGAGAAAGACAAAAGGCATAAAAATGCACAAAATAAGAAATAAAGGAAAAATTACCACAACTCAGAGAAATTACAATACCCTTAAGAAACTATTTTGTTCAACTCTATATAAGAGTGTGAAAACCCAAGTAAGATAGATGTTCCTAGAAACATGTAATTTACTAAAACTGATTCTTAAGAGAGGTAGAAAATCCAAACATAATAAATCACTGTAGTTGAACTAGAGAAAACTGTCAAGAGCCACAGCCCAAAAAGTGCCAAGATCAAATGTTTTCACAAGGGAATTCCACAGGCTTTTTAAAAAGCAGATCACGTCAAGGCGATACACATTGTTCACAGCATAAAAATTAAGAGAAGTTTCCAAATTTGTTTCATAAAGCGGATGTAATGTTGATATCAAAACACAACAAAATATGTCTCCAAGAAAACTACAAACTAACCTCACCTACCAATATTTATGTAAAAGTACTGAATAAAATTTAACAAAGATATCCAGAGTATAGGCTTATTTCATAAAAGATGGCTTAGTATTAGAAAATATAGCAATGTAATTTACCATATTAGCAACACTAAGGAGAAAAAGCATGTAATAATTTTCATAAACGTTTTTAAAATTGAGAAAAATCCAACATCCATCCCTAATTATTTTAAAAAACTTAATAAAATAAGAATAGATGAATAATTTCTTGATGTGATAAAATACCTCTATCTCAACCTAATAGCCAGCATCATTCCTAAGGAAGAATCGCTATTATGTCTATTAATTTCAGGAAAAAGACAAAGATGTTCACTTTCACCCTATTAATTAATGTTGTCCCTACATATTATCCAAAGTAATTAGAAAAAAACAAATAAAAGTATTTTTAAAAATTTGAAGGGGAAAGTTGGAAGTATTATAGGTAAATGATATGATGGCATATAAAAAACTTAAAAGAAACAACTGAAAAGTTATTATAAATAATAAAAGTATGAAATGTGGAAGGGGAAAATCCTTATAAGAGTTTAAAAAAAAAGATAAAATACTAACAATAAAGTTATCAAGAAACAAGCAAGACCTATATGAAGATGACTTTAACAGGCCTCAGAGGCACAAAACGGAAGATCTGAACAAGAGGAAAGGCCGCCATGCTGTTGAGTGGAGTCAATGTCATTAGACATAACATTTCCATAAATAAGTCAATATTTAGTGTGACTTTGACACATATGCCAAAAAGTCACAACTGTTTGTCACTATTTTTCTGACAATGTTGTGAGGTTTTATTTCCTTGTGAAAGAGCCTGATTAAAAGCATAGAACAAATTCTCATGTATGGCTTTTTTAATGAGATTAAAAATTAGATTTTTAATGAGATTGTCAGTACTTACAAAATATCATAATAGTACTCATTTATAAATCTGTACCCAAAAATTATGGGATTGAAATTATTTTCTCAAGTTTATTTTTTAAGTTGTTATTATAATTACCAAAGTAATACCAGCTTTGGGCCAAAAAGTAAAAACCAAATACTGAGAAAGGTGTTTTATGAAATGCAACAGTCTCCTGCCTCACCCCAATTTCCACTCCCCAGAAGCAACATTTCTATTGATTTCTGGCTTTAGTTTTTGTGGTGGTTACCCTCATAGCTCCAAATGCATAAACATATACACATACATACACACTTCCATTGTTTTATCCATCTGTGAACAATATCCATTGACTCATCACCGTAAAAGATGAGAACTTAAGTGTCACATATATTGCCCTCAAATTGTCCTTTGTCCTCCTCCCAAATTTTGAGTTACTTTCAGCTCTTATGTCTGTTGTCTTTAAATTATTGATCATTTTAAGTTTCAATTTCTTGTTCTATTTGTAGTCAATACCCATCGACTCCACATTATATAAAAAATAGCATATTAGCTCCCCTTCTCCTTCTTTCTGTTCTTTCTCCCCTTTTCCCCTTCTAATTTCTGAAAGCAAATGCTCCTTTTACATTGTTATATGCTGTTCTGTAACTGTAGTTCAGTCTTCTGTGCTTTCTCTGTGCATTTACTTTAAATGTGGAAAACCCATTAAGTAGCATTCCTAATATTGTTACTAAA